TCTATACTRGTAGTTATTATTCAATCAGCTTTGTTGTTCTCTCATGTCCAACAAAACATATAGTCTTATTACACAGTACTTTACTTCCCAGTTCCCTTTTTTCCATTCACTGTATCTTTAGTACTGGATATATGTATCAAGCTATGCTCTACCTGTGATGTACCTACCTACAACAGTAGTTACTTTTCAGTCATTCACATATTTAATTCCACTTTTCAAGATTTCATGCTTCTTTTTTATTGCCATTTTCTTTGGCAAGTGATAATGGAGACAGAAGAAAATACCATAGACTGCTCCTGCTTTGGGTGAATTACAGAGGTGCTCCAAACACTCTTCTTGATCCAGGTTTTATTGTAACTGCCATTCTAGATATGTACAACGGTGTTTTCTCCTTCAGTGTTTGCCCCATGTGTATCCTCCAAAATTCATTAAGTTGAAGTATTCGCTCTTCTGTATAAAAGATATAAAAAAAGTTAAAAGGCAAAAAGTCTCGCACAACAGGAGAAATTATCCATGCTTTTCTTGTGCAGAAACTTAAGTAGCTGATCTACAGATCTACTGTGTTTATTTGCAAATTAATTTACAGTTATTTTTCAGAGAAAGGAAAAATAGTGATTCATTAACAAATAATGTTCTTTTGGAGAGAAACCTTCTAATTTTGTCTTAACATTTTTGCTTCTGGCTTCAGCAGTGCAATAACACAGCCAGCACTGCAGAAACCCACCTTTCATATGTTGGTGAGAGTCTTTTGGCCACAAATAGCTTACCATAGACTCCAGCAGTGACAAATAAGTCCTCAGGAATGGGCTGGCTACAGTAGAACTTTCTGTTCTTCACATTTTATTCCAGATATAGCTGAAGACAGGAAGCAAGGGAAGTTTATAGAAAAATCRCAATAAAATTTTAATCTGTGAAAGAAATATATGTTAGTCAGCCAGCATATAGTTTAGAATTGCAGATTAACAAGGCTTTATGTCTTTACTCTGTGAAAAATTCTTAAGAATTGAGTTGGGCTGCTTCCAAATATTAGTGAAGAATTTTCTTTATCCATAACTCAATGACAGCTTGTATCCAGGGTGAATCTTAAGGCAGGTGACAGTCTTGATTTCTCAGGTTTCACAGGATGGGGGAAATTTCTTCCTAAGCAGATGTTTGTTCAGATTTAAAATGGATTATCATTAGATTCTCTACATATATTTTTTGAGGAAATATATGATAAGGAAGAGGAGTAGTTCAGAAAGATAAGTGCTTGTGTGTTTCAATAATGTAATAATTTCACCATTTCCTTAGTTTCACTAAGTTCCACTTCCAATACTCTGTTCTTCCCTTCTGGTCTATGAAAGGACAAGGGCAAAATACCCTATTGCTAATTAAAAGATTACCTGAATATGGCCTTTTGAAACCTGGATGATTGGTTAGTCCCAGGATATTTTTAGCTGGCAGAAGCAGCAGTTCATTACATAATCAAACTGATAACTAATCTTTTCCAAGACTTAACTTTAGAAATCCATGTTAATTCCAATTCAAAGGGTAAAATTAGACCACAAGGACCATTTTAAGTCTAGTTCAAGACACTGTTATGAAATAGTCTGCCAGGGTATCTCAGATTTAATTGAACTTAAACTCCTTGGTGAAAACAGAGATCGTATTTCATGCACTTTTGTAACATTTCATGTCAGATTATGAATACATTCATGTATGTTGTTAACATACACTTGGACATTCTACAACTGATTCCTTCCCCTAAGAGATGGGAAAAGCCCCAAAATTTGTCATCCTTCCTTTCCTGTAAGGCTTTAAGTAATGACAGTTTAAGTATTGTGAATGAAATCTGCATACAAAGCAACTTTAGGATCACAGTATTTGTAAGAAAAATTTATATTGTGCCTGAATTCAGCAATTCCATCGTATCTGCTGGGTTTTTCATTTTCTTTGTGTTGTCATCAGTGAGCAAAAAGGCTGGGCCTTCTCCTGTATCCCAACTCCATTTTTGCCGTGGAGTCTCGCAAGTTTGCAACTTGGCAGCAGAGTGAGAGGTTGTGGAAAGACATAGATAGGCCATACATCTTAAAAAGTAGTTACTGTACAGGTTTCTTTTTCTTTCTGAATAGTCATCTATATAAGTTTCATGAAAGGAGGCTGCCACAGTCCATCACTCTGCAGTTTTATCAAAATACAAGATTATGAAATTGCTTTCAGAGTCACATTCTRGTGTATTTATGAAACCACTCTAGTTCTGCTCTAGTCCACAACGTCAGAGCATCAGTCCTTTCAGCTTTCCTATTGAGGAGTACCTATTTTATCAGCATATGATAAATCATGCAGTGAAGCTTTTCTTTTGCCTGTGTGTCTGTGTTATCACAGCCTCATCAGCTGGAAGAGGCCTATTTGCTTTCTCTTCACAGTGAAAATTTTCATATATCTTTCCTTCTAGAATTCCGATTTAGAGCCTAATGGATAGAAAATCTCTGAGTTTTACAGAACAATTTGTAATAGGAAACTTCTGAAATAACATAGTAGGTAAAGGTAATTATATTTAATGTAGTTCTTTAAAGGTTAATTTTTATTACCATAATGTGATTTTAAAAAGGAAAACAGCAATAGCACATATTAAAGTTAAGCAAAAGCTTGTCATGTCAGAGTTTAGAGCCAAACTATTGTGAAAACGTTTGTTAAAAAGAAAAATGCTGCTTTGCTTTTATTTACTTTTTCTCTATTAATAGTTTCTTTTAAACTGTGGTTTATGCTAGAAAATATCAAATACTGATCAATTAGTCATGAAACATAGAGCTAGAAGTGAAATAATTATTGAAAAACTATTGAAACTATCCTGGACTTTGGATTGCTAGTGCTATCTGGTTACACAACAATTTGCTACACCTTCCAGGCATTGATGTCATTTTGTAGGAGCAGGTGAGTAGATCTATTGTGTTGCTATTAGGAACACACGTAAACTATAGGGCCTTTTTAAGTGTGTTTGTCTGAGAAAAAGTTCCTAAGTAAACTCTGCTTGCTGGATAGGGTATCAGTAGTTCATAGASTAAATTTTAAAATGGTTAAATATTCATTAGCATTTGTTCAAGTTAACGCTAGATTTAAAAAAAAAATCTGTAGGGCGTATGCAAAACTTTACATATTACTTTAAGAAAAAATAATTGCTTAATTTTGCTTCCTTCATTTAAACCAATAGCCATTTTACGTGCAATTATCCAATGAGCTCTTCCCAGCTCTGTTGATTGAAGTGGAGGTATAGGCTTCCTATCCAGGAATAACAATCCTATGGGATTTGATAATTCCCTAGGGGAATTGATGTTTTTCATGCAGTCGTGCTGAATTTTTGGGGAACTTGCTTTTTATCTTTTTGAAGAGTCTTTAATTAAGCTACTTGTAGCCATGAGATAGTGTTGAAAGGCTTTATGAGTGTTTCAGAAGGATTCAAAAAATCTAAAACAATGCTCACAATGCTCTGCAACTCTTATCTTTGAAATGAAAAAAAAAATCTCCCTTTTTATTTTAAATGGCAATTACTTGCCCGGGGAATCCACTTTGGAAAGTATGAATCTGACTGCAAAGCCTAGCAAATACCATTGCCTTTGCTAGTAGATGGACACTAGGCCTTCCTACTTCAGGGCAGTGCTGCCAGAGGCCTGACACAAAGCTACTGAAACACTCTCGTTGGAAGTGGCCAGGTATGTCAATATGCTTGGTGATGTGTTTCAAGTCTGGAAAGCAGGATTTAAGGAATAAGTATCTTTCCTTAAACTCAAATGAATAATTAGTATTGTGAAAATTGCAAATTTAGGTTTCTTTCAAATCAATCATCTTTTCCTTTATTCTTTAAGGAATCAATGGAAAATTACAGTCCTAAGTAAAACAGGACAGAAGACAAAGGTGTGAATCTGACACAAACTCTAATGCAAAGGCAAAAACATGTTCAATTATTCCTCTGTTGCTGAGGTGTTTATAAAGGGCTTGTGGTAACTTAAATATGTGCATTAAACATCTGATCTTAAACAGATTATCTAAAACAATCTGCAGGACAAGGAATACATAAATATTACTTCGACCTATTTCCTTCTGGTGGATATGCTAAGCTGTCATGCTCCAGACATTTAGACCTACTTATCAGGGCAGCCTTCTTTGCCGTCTTTTGACCAAGCCACTACAGCAGAGGGAGGAGATTTATTTTCTTAGTAATATTCAGATAAGCAGGTTCTCCTGTACAAGCAAGAACACCATTTGTTCTGTATAACAGTTTTTCTTAACTACACTGTTTGAATAAGCTCATCAAACTGTGTGTTTTCTGAGGAGCAATTCAGTTTTCTTCAAGGGTCCTTGCATGTAGAAGTGACATCTAATCTTGCAGCTGTGAAGATGGCGCTCAATCAAAGAATAATTTTTCAGGGAATTTTTGGTATATTGTTTATCTAAGATTCAGACTGCCCGATGGACATTTCATAATTCCAGAGCATTATTGATGAAAGACTTCTTAAAGACTTACCTGAACGAWAGAAAACTCTGTTGCACTAATGCTTGCTTTTCTACCCCTTAACCTGGAAATGGCAAGTCACAAAACTACATTGCTGTGTTTCCTATTTTTACCTCGCCTGCTGATGAATGTGTGAGCAAACAAGCAAACCTGAACGCCTGCTTCCTTCCCTACTGCCTATCAATTCTGCCTACTCTGCTTCTTTGGAACTGCACACTAATCTTTGTTTACAAACAACTCCTGCTTCTCTATGCTGCTGAATCTGGAAGGACTGGGATATGTCATACACCGAGGGCAAGCACATCTATCTTGCTCTGCTGGCTTTTTTCCTTCACTTTACTAAATGCTTCTTCCGTCTCTTGCATCACTTCATCTTTCTTTCGTTTGTGTGAAGATATTTTGCCTGGAGTTGCACCTTGGGAGGGAGAAACACATTTTGGTTGGCATAGAACTTGGTTGATTAAAAGGCTTCAAACAAGTCTCCTTCACCTGGTCTCCCGTCATTTTCCAGGACAATCTACGTAAAAAGGATGATCGGATTGAAGAATTGGAAGAGGCACTCAGAGAAAGTGTTCAGATAACTGCAGAGCGAGAAATGGTGCTAGCACAAGAGGAGTCAGCCAGGATCAATGCTGAGAAACAGGTCTGCAATCTTATAAAGTCACTGGTAATCCTCAAAGGGAAGTAACCTGACAGTCAAGTAGTATTCTCGCTGCTTTACTGCAAAACACAGCTGGTTTTGTTTGATGAACCTAAATCTCTGTTCAAACACTGGGGAAAAGAGCCCATAAAGTCAGCAAAGCTTTCATGACAGTTTGTTTTTTTCCAAGTAACATTTTCGTGCATTTAAAAAACAAATTTATGGTATCCTGTGCTTTAAAATATTATTTTATATATGAATTCCTCTAACCTGTCTGGTCCATCAGTTGACCATCTATTATCCTGTGTGAAAACATACACACAATGCTGATCATTGCACATATTTGAAGGGAATGGTTTTTRTTAACATAGGTTTTAGAAGTCCTGCTCATGGACCACAGTCTCATTGTGCTTGCAATTGCAAAACTACTGGACAGCGAGACAAATCCTCTGGCTTAAGTTTACATACAGAAAATACATCCTTGTCTGTTGAAGCCACAGGTTTAAGATTTTGCACATGGATTTAGTCTGTATCACTGATCAGAAGTGCAGAAGAATCACATGTGTCTGATTTTGACTCCTGTAAGTAATCATCAAGAAAGAATACTGTATGTGGTGAGTAAACAGCCCTGAGGTTTGGTAGCACATTTGAAGCAGAAGCAGCTGAACCTGACATTCTTACTAAATGCTCTTCTGACCTTCTCCTGTGTTTTTCCACAGTTACACTATTCCTTAAGCATGTTCCTTAAGTATGACCTTAATTAGCAAATAGGAACTTTTGCTCAGCCAAGTCACAGTGGCATTTTCTTCTTCCGTTTGTTATTTAAGTGAAAGTTCTGGATACCTTCAGTTTGAAACCTCTTGCAGAGTTTTCTCAAAGTGTGTTCTTATATTGTGTCTTCTTTTTAGTTAATAATCTAGGCTTTCAGGAATAAAGTGATAGTTTCTAAAACAAGCTAGATGATTTGCTGGTAGACCTATTTAAAGAATAATTCTGGTTGCCATACCCTAAGATTTTTACAACATTATGGAATGTACTTAGCAGTATATCTTCTTTCCAACCTTTCCATAGGCTTGAAAAATGGGTAAGAAGGAATGTTAAATAGGCAGCAAATAGTGCATCAAAGCTTAGATTTCTTTGTAATAAAAATATTTATCTCGTGAAGAAACATAATTTATGCCAAGCTGCAAAAGTAACCAATATAATGATATGATGCCTATGTTGTGATGGTGTTTTAATTTCTTTATTACAAGACGTAGAGATGATTACTCATTATTTTCTTTCAGCACATAGAAACCCATAAGACACACATTTTTATGGTGGCTATGGTAGAAATATACAACAAGATACAGGTGGTTCCATGAATTTTTTAAAGGATGGTTTTGAAGAAGGGTGCCATGTGTTAATTTCATAGGGGTTAATGCATCTGAAGTTACAGAAACACAAAGGTGAACATGTGAATATTTATGCTAGTGTAGGGGTTGATCACAGTGAGCCAGTCATTTCACTGCTCACTCARCAGGTCATTTGAGAAATGAAAAGTGGCTTGAGTGCATCCTGCAAAGGATAATAGCTTGCATTTGAATCACTAACAAAACCGAGTGGTACTAGAATTAACATGATCTAGGCAATGGACAAGGAGATTATGGCACAAATGAGCACAACTGGCACAGGAAGGATTTTTTCAAAGATTCAGACAAGAGTCTAATCATACCGAATTACTGTAGCTCTACAGTTGCAATTGGAAAGAGCTTATATTAGTGATATTAGAAAAAAAATCTGCAGATTTGTAGTTATAACCTTTATGCAAAGTCTAGAGGCCTGAGAAGACATCAAGATTAACAAAAATATGGAAGTCCTGTCACAGATGAAAAAAGAAAGAGAGTAATAAGGAAGACTTTAGTCATAGGATGGGAAGGACTTGTTTTTAGCCTGTTGAGGATAAACTATTCATGGATGTCTGTCCATCATGAGCTGTTGGTAACAGGTTTATTATGAACAGGAGAAAAGATGTCTGGATTAGTACAACAGGGGACTGTTGTCATAGAAGTGAAGCTTTATTTGCACAAGAGGTCCTAAAGCTAAAATGCGGTAAAAGGTCCTAGAGCTAAAAGAGTGGTACTTATAAATGCATACACAGAAAATACATTTTCTCAGAATACTGAGAAGAGCAACCTGAATGATATATTGCATTTAGCCTCTAAAGAATTGTTGTGTCGCACTTTGACAAAGAGGATTTTGCTTCAGTATCAGTTAACTACAATCAGGTAATAAAGGAACAGCAAGCAGCTGCCCCTCCAGGGAGAGGAGGGGAATTCTTTTTCAAATGCTTTCTGTGTGTCATTTTCCATGGAGRTTTTGTGTAGAATTATGACAAAGTTTGCAAATGTAGAGATTTTTTTTTTTAATAGGAAATTGCTGGCAAATCCTGTGATCTTTTACAAGCTATGATACTAGGTTAAGGTCATTCTTAGGCCAAGTATGAATGTTGTGTGTGGATTTTAAAAAATTGATGTTATCCAAACTGAATTTGCTTTTAATTGCATGCTTTTTCTTTCTTCTCTTTTGTTTATCTTGTTTTCYTTCATTCTACCACTTCACTGCCTGTCTGAAGCTGTTAAGTGAATCAGTGCATGAGGTCAACCATTTTGGCTTTAAGTGGTTCAAGGTATGAGGACATCTCGTGTGTTCATTCCCTCCTCAATCTTTAATGTTGTTTTTGTAGCCTGTGTTGTGCAGTCCTACCCTCAATCATCTCATGAGGTTTGGTTTTCCATTTTAAAGGCTTGAAAATCAAATTATTATGTCCATGGAGCTATTCAGCATTTCATGGTTCTCTTATTTCTATTTCAGATTACGATCTTGCTCTCCTTATTCCAGTGTTTGAAAATATTCTGGCAACCTGTATTAACTGTGGCAGTGTGTTAACTGTGTTAGCATCCAATCAATCCATATATGGCAAATTTCTCCATCAGATAAAACTTTTTCATTTATTTCAAGGTCTTGGACACATTCTTTTTTTCCCTTCGTTTTCCATAAATAAATAAAGGCATTTCCTGACAGGATCAACTCGTCCTTCGGATTGGGCCTAATTTTATTTACCTTGTTGTTCTGAGTAATGGAAACCCTACCATACAAGAGCAGTTGAGGGAGACTTAAAAAGATATAACGTCTTGGAAGTTCTTCAACAAAATCTTTATTTCCAGCCTATTCAGCTGGTTTTGTTGGTCCACTTGTGGAATCTTGTGTTTAAATATTATTGCAAATTCCTTAAGCATATGGGGTTATGTACTACTGTGGTGATGCCATTAGTTCAACCCATTAGGTTAAATATCTAGAAGAAAAAAAGTATACAGAAACTCTGTGTACTCTTTTCCAGAAAGAAAGTATACAGAGAGCTCTTTTTGAGTAGTCTCAGTAAGAGTCAAGGTAGGTTTTCTGGGATAAACACTTCTAACATGCAGATCTTTCTTGTCCATTAGAGATGACAAAGACAAAYGTGGATCCAGGCATCTTTTCTGGATTAATCAAATCTTCAGTTTACTTCAGTAAAGTTATCCTAACAATCCTCGGGAAAAAAATTAAGCTTGAGTTTTCCCCTGGTAACTAATACAATGGCAATTTTACTTTCCTAGGAAAAAAAGATCTTTGACAAAAGGTCCTATCTTGATGAAAAAATTTTCACTCTCCTATTGCATCTTAACTCTTGCAGTAAGAAGGAGGAGTTTGTCTCATGATATCAACACAACCATGACCAGAACCGTTCACAGAACAATACTGGAAATGCGTTTCAATCTCGTGAAAACAAATAAGGCCCTTTTTGTGGAACAAGTTCAGATGTGATTTAATGAACATATCTATTGACCAAATGGTTTCTATGTTACTTTTTACACTAGGACTGTCCTAGCTTTTAATGAAGTTTGGAAACTGTCCCTCTTTCAGGTTGGTATGTCTTGGTGATAGAGGGAGCCAACGCAACCAACTTGAAATAGATGGGTAACTTGTAGATAGCTGGAATTAGGTGAAATTTATGACTGTGTGGTCTTGGTTTTCTGTATGTTGAAGGGAATTTAGGTAATAATAGGTGAAATACTATGAAGCATTATCAAAGTAAATGTCATATTTAAAGTTTTTAATTTAACAAGCTTTTTTTAAAAAAAAAAAAAAAGAAAAAGAAAGATTAAAGAAAAAAAGCATTTAACCAGGTCATCAAAGTAGAAGGAAGATATTCTAAGACAGCTCTTAAAACAATGTGTGTTCCCAGGGACACCAAGAATGAGCTTTCAAATTAATCCATTTTTTCGTAATTAGGAATTCTTCACAGTGTAGTTTGATTGAGACTAGCAGGAATGAAAACCTGGGCATGCAGTAGTAATAGGAAGCCAAAGACAAATGCTCACATGCATTCAAAACATCAATATTCATTGTTACAAAGCTCTTTTTCCTTATACTTCAGCTGTACTATAATCACAGGACTCTTGGGTCTGCCCATTCTGTAATTATTTTTGAAGGATTTTTCCATGTGGACCAATTCCCTGATCTGGTTCACAGTCCCACATCAAACTATAACAGCACCTCAGAGAAGGCATTGAACTGGGAGCAAGACTCAGAAACAGAGACAGAAATTTCTCTATTCATACCAAAAATATTTTTTAAAAGCTGTTGTCCTGGACTTTGCAGTACGTGAATGAGCTGCTGTACTGCCTGACGCTAACTTACATTCTCTCATTTTAGGCTCTCATATGTTCTCTCATTAAAGGCTGAGAAAGTTGGGCCTGTTCAGCCTGGAGAAGAGAAGGCTGAGGGGGGACCTGATCAGCGTGTATAAATACCTCAAGGGAGGCAGTGAGGAGGAGGGGSCGGCCTCTTTTCAGTGCTGGATAGCGATAGGACTAGAGGAAACGGCCACAAGCTGAGGCACCAAAACTTCCACAGGAACTTAAGGAAACACTTTTTGACAGTGAGGGTGACAGAGCCCTGGAACAGGCTGCCCAGGGAGGCTG